CGACGTTGAGGCCGTACGTGGCACAGGTCTCGTAGTAGAGGCACCTCTTCATGTCCCCGCAGAGCGCCTGGGCACGGGCGTCCTCGATCACCCGGGGGTTGGAGGAGCTGATCTTGTCTGGGGGGAGCAGGGGAGTGAGACGGGGGTCATCCCCACCCCATCCCCATCCCTGTCCCCGTGGGGCTGGTCCCGTGTCCCCAGCTCACCCTGGGTGCCCACCAGCGCCAGGGCCACCTCGCCGGCGCCCCGGTAGCCGCTGAGCAACGCGTGCAGCTGCGTCACCTCCTCAAAGCTGCTCTCGTTCTCCAGGCTGAAGACGAAGATGACGGCGTCTGCCCAGCTGGCAAACTGGGGGGGACGCGGACGGGGGTCAGGGCTCGGCACCAGCCAGCACGGCCCCCCCTGGCCCCCAGCCCCCACATACCTTGGCGTCCGGGGCGCCTCCTTCCTCCCGGATGAGCAGGAGGTGGCTCTGGCCATCGACCATCACCTCACGCTTGAACTGACCACCTGGAGCCGGAGGGAGGAGAGGGGGGAGCCCCGTGGCTCTGCCTGGCCCCATGGCCTTGAACATCCCATGGCCACGCCCAGCACCACGGCCTTACCTGTACCCGTGGCCTTGACTGTCCCCATGACTTTGTCCACCCCCGCGGCCATGCTGAGCACCATGGCCTTGTAAATCTCCATGGCCTTGTCCACCCCACAGCCGTGCTCAGCACCACGGCCTTGTCTGTCCCCATGGCCTTGCCCAGCACCGTGGCCATGCCCAGCACCATGACCTTGTCCATCTCATGGCCGTGCCCAGCACCGTGGCCATGCCCAGCACCATAGCCCTGTCCGTCCCATGGCCATGCCCAACCCTATGGCCTTGTCCACCCCACTGCCACGCCCAGCCCCACGGCCTTGTCCGTCCTCATGACCTTGTCCATCCTCATGGCCATACCCAGCACCATGGCCCTGTCCATCCCCATGGCCCTGTCCATCCCCACGGCCATGCCCAACCCCACGGCCATGTCCATCCCCGTGGCCACTCACTCTCGGTGGGCTCCAGGCCCACGTAGGAGCCGGTGAGGAAGCGGTGGACGAGCGCCGACTTCCCGCTCTTGCTGCTGCCCAGGACGCCCTGGGGAGAGGGCAGAGGGGGTGTCAGGGCAGCCGAGGACAGGAGGACCCAGGGCAGGGACACGGGGACACGGTACCCACCAGGCGGATCTCGGGGACGGAGCGGCCCAGGGTCCATTCCTGGCTGTTCACCAAGGCCTCTGCGGGGAGGAGAGGGGTGAGATGGTGCCCAGGCACCCCCGGCACCCCCCGGCACCCCAGCTGGGGAGGGGGGGGGCATGGCCGCCCCCAGCCCTGCAGCAGCGCCACCGGCAGCATCCTGCGTGGGCGGCCACGAGCCGTCACCAAGCAACGGCACCGCACCGAGCCTGGCGGGGGCGGCGGGAGGGATGCGGAGACGCGACGTGGCGGGGACATGGCCATGGGCACAAGGACACGGTGGACACAAGGATGTGGCGGGCACAAGGATGCAGCGTGGCAGGAGGACATGGCACGGCATGGGGACATGATGGGCACCAGGACACGATGGGCATCAGGACGCGACGTGGCATGAGGACGTGGCGTGGCACAGGGACACAATGGGCAGAGGGACACGCTGGGCACCAGGACACGGCATGGCACGAGTACGTGATGTGGCACACAGTGGGCATGAGGATGTGATGGACGTGGTGCATGACAACATGGCAGGCAGGAGGATGCAGCGTGGCACGAGGACGTGGCCTGCACAGGGACACGATGGGCATGAGAACACAGTGTGGCTCGAGGATGTGGCGTGGCTCGGAGACACGATGAGCACCAGGACACGGCGCGGCACAAGGACGTGGCATGGCATGAGGACGCGGCGTGGCACGAGGATGTGGCGCAGCCCACGATGGGCACGAGGATGTGATGGACATGGTGCACGACAACATGGCAGGCACCAGCGTGTTGGGGCATGAGGATGTGACACGGCACAAGCACACGGCGTGGCACAAGCACACGCCGTGGCATGGCACAAGGACGTTGCCTGCGCCCCTCGCACGCCCTGACCAGCACCCCCAGCCCCCCGCCGCCAGCACGGCACCTCACCTCCTGCACCATGAGGAAAGGGAAACTGAGGCAGGGCAGAGGCAGAGGGTCCCCCCCCATCCTGTGCCTCAGTTTCCCCCGTGCCACATGCAGGGCTGCCCCCCCACCAGGTGCATGGCAGGCAAGGGGTTAACGCTGCTGCCTGTCACCCCGCACATCGTCACCGAGCTGCCACCCACGGGTGTCCCCACTGCCACCCCCGGGTCCCCGGCAGGCTCTGCCCACGCGCCCCACAGCACCGGGGGGTCGGGGATGGGACTGGGGTGGACGGAGGGATGCAGAGGGACGGACGGATGGACACAGGGTGGCTACGGGGTGGCCGGACAGATGGACGTGGGGCGAGCGGGACAGAAGGACGGACGAATGTGTGACGCACGGATGGAGCAGCGGACGGACAGACGCCGGGATGGACAGACGGGTGAGGGGTCGGCACCTGAGCCCGATGGAGCCAGCCCCAACGGGGAAACTGAGGCACGGCAGCCCCCACCACGGTCCTCAACCCCCCCGCCACATGCCCCAGCCCCCAGCCACAGATGGGTCCTTCTGCCCCCTGCCCC